CATCTAAATAACTTCGCAAAGTACCCTCGAGGCTTACGCTCAACAAATATCGCAGCTCGAGAGTCTTCAAACAAGCTCCAAGTACTCACGGGTGGTCTGCCATCTTGGAAAAATCTAATTCCTTCACCAACATGCGCATAGTTCAAAACACTGAATTTGTTGGAGAAGCGACGAATTGATGGATCTTCAAATCCGGGTGGAAGCTTTGTGATAATATCAGTATCATCAATAATACGCCATAATGTGTTTTGCCGATCGAATGGAGTGTTACTAATGGCTGCATATTCTGCTGCGAAATCAGCATCACCAATAGCCGGTGTTCCAAATAGATACCCATCTCGGAGAATGCAGTTTGGACCAAGATCAGCGGGCGAATTCAACAAACGAGAGTAGAATAATGTGCTGAGTGCTGCTCCTAATGAATGGCCAGTGACCCAAATATTTACGGGTGCATGAATTGGTGGTGAAAGCTGAGCATTTCTTTCTCGAATTATGGCAGCTTTCTTACGAATTTCTTTTATGATAGCTATATATGGACTAGAAGCGTGTCCACGTGGAGTTACGTGATCGGTTTCTGGGAAAAGTGACGTGTAGAAACCTTCGTGGACTTCGCCGAAAACATACGATCTAGTTATAGAAGAATTACTTACAAACTAAACTAGCTTGGTAAATACAGGAGAGATTATAAAAAGTTACCTAGCATCAACACGCTGAATCATCGCATCAACCAAAAAGTCCTCAAAATTGGTCGGTGTAGTTCCTTTGAACACCACCACAATAAAATTATGCTTGACAGACCAGAACATTCCGGCGAAAGGTCCGCCAAGAGAATTCAATTCTGACAAGGACGTAAATTCGAGATCCCAAATATCCGCTTGTTCACGAATTCTTTGTTCGCTATCACGCAGTTTATTTTCAATCTCTTCGTAAGCATCACGTGTTATCGTGTCCCGTTCTGAGGCTAATTTTTGGATTTGTTTGTGAGCTTCATGAACTTTAAGATCGTCTCTTTCATAGACAATAGCCGACATGAGTAAAAGAGTTTCGGCGATGTCGAGATTGAATTGACGTGTTTGTTTAACGTTGGCGGTACCTCCGTTGGTGTTTTCTGCTACTGTTTCCACAGCCGGGGCCATTGGCTGATCGAGTCCTACTAT